TGTGTATGTCTGGTTAAGAAAAACATGCAAAAGAATTTGTTAATTACTAACCTTGTGCGGTTTATCCCAGCATAAATACATTGTGAGTGTAGATTAAATATATCTTCTTGTTTTTCTTGTGAATAAAGTGATTTATAGTCTAAGAAAGAAACTAGATATCAATTTAATTTAGGATTGTCACATTTACCACGTTGAAAACATATATTCTTAAACTTGGGGTTACCTACTACTAATAAAGAAAGGAAATTGATTAAGGATTCTCATTTATATATTATTTTTTCATTCAAATTTTCTGCATTTGCTTCTAAGGGATTGACAAAATTGGCTTTAACATCAAGAAAAACAGGGTCCATTCCAACATTCCACGAAATCAAGCAATGATTTCAATATGGAATTTAGGACATTATAATGCATTGGTCAACTAGATATTATTTTGAACTTTGAATTTCCCTGCCCGCTCTCTTGAATTTCACGACCTCTATTAAATTTTAATTCATTTTTCTGTCTTCTTATCAACTACACATTTTCTCAATAAAATAATATTACATATAAATCAAAAAAATTTCCTTACTTTTAATCATACATTCTTCAAAAAAACTATTTCAAAATCAATTTTTTTTTTTTTTTCAAATAATGGAGCTCAAACAAGTTTAAAATTTTTATCCACAACAAAATTATGTTGGTTGCTTGTTATATTGGACAAATATAGAAAATGATTTCATTGTAATAATAATTAGGCATCTAGAAATAATCGAGTTTATGACATGTTTGTTGTTTTTATACAAAATTATACAAAAAAATTTCATAAATTAATAATACACATACGATTCTCCTTTAACGTACTTATTTTGTCCACTTTATAAGCAGCCATATGATTAGATTAATCATTGTGATAAGAGAATATATTATGCCAACGTTTGATTTAAATTATAATTCGATTAAAATATCCATTCAAAATTACAATTAATTTTAATCATACATTTCATCTACAAATCTATTTTATCTTATATTTTATTATAAATCTCACAATCCGACTTTGTTTTGAAAATTACTTCAAATTCATTTTACTTATAATTATTATTTTTTGTTTTATAATCGTGGATGTTCGAGCCAACTTGCGCACACTTCGACTAATCTCACGGGCCCCTGAAGTTTACGATCGTGTACTCACCACAATGACCCTGAGAGGACTCGAACTGGTGATCATTGGGGAGCAAATCTAAGGTCTGACCAATTGAACAATCCCTCAATGTTCATTTTACTTATTTTTCAAGTCCCTATTTGACATTCAGTCATTCATTATATCGAAAATAAATTTTTTTTCTTCTTAAATTCACTTTCAACCATACAATCAAATATTTTGCACGTAAAATCAAAATTTTTCTTACTTTTGAAGCTTCTCTAATAAATTTTTAATATCAACGTTTGATTTAAATTATAATTCCATTCAAAATTACAATTAATTTTAATCATATTTTTCATCTACAAATCTAATAGTATAATATAAATATAACACAGGACAAGTCTTGCAATTTCTATTCAACTTCCGTATTAATCTTAAATTACAAATGAAGAGTACAACTGTGTACACATAAAAAAAGATTTAATTTTATTTGTTTAATAATTTTTAAATATATTTTATCTTATATTTTATTATAAATCTCACAATCCGACTTTGTTGCAAGTTTATAATATTTAAGGTCCCCTTGTGTAAGCAAAATATTGTGATGAGGGCAACTTCAAGAAAAAATTTAGACCACTCAGAAAACTCGATTTTGGATCATTCTATGAAGTTTTGAAAATTACTTCAAATTCATTTTACTTATAATTATTATTTTTTGTTTTATAATCGTGGATGTTCGAGCCAACTTGCGCACACCTCGACTAATCCCACGGGCCCCTGAAGTTTACGATCGTGTACTCACCTCAATGACCCTGAGAGGACTCGAACTGGTGATCATTGGGGAGCAAATCTAAGGTCTGACCAATTGAACAATCCATCAATGTTCATTTTACTTATTTTTCAAGTCCCTATTTGACATTCAGTCATTCATTATATCGAAAATAATTTTTTTTTTCTCAAATTCACTTTCAACCATACAATCAAATATTTTGCACGTAAAATCAAAATTTTTCTTACTTTTAAAGCTTCTCTAATAAATTTTTAATATAAAAATAAGTCCAAGTCAAAATATGAAATACAGATACGTTAAGTTAACAATCTTCAATTTTCTTAAGTAATGTTTTCAAATGAAATAAGTCAAACTAATCTAAACAATTAAAGTTAATAATACCCAAAAGGGAAGAGAGTTCATATAATAAGCAATAAGTACCCACAAACATATCTGATATGAAAAAAACTCAAAAAGAAAATAATTGCAACCTTAGACGTTCCTATCTGTTTTTCTTAAAATCCTTTTCAACAACCAACGCCTATATAAAGAAAAGGGAAATTACACAATTGGTTCTCAATCAATTTTCCTAGTTTCAAGTTAGTCCTTAACCTTTATAATAAGCGATATGGTATTCCCCAAAAAATATAAGGTGCTCTAAAAAATCACGGCCACCATTTGGCTTGCAAAAGACTACTTAAATTTTCATTTTTTCAAAAAGATTGTGAAAAACGGGGTTTACCTTCTCCCTACGGAATCAAATTTCTTTGAATTGTCAATATTCGAGGCTATAGTTCAAGTTCAACTAAAAACCTCAACCGTCCCCATTAATGTTGTCCAACATCTTTTTCATATAATTCCACAACTCTCCCCATTAATCCATTCTATTTATGGATATGCCATTTCTTCACATTTTAAATTCAATGTAATAATATATTTAGGTGCATGAATTGGCAATTGGACCCATGACATGGGATCGACTGAACAAAGTCAAATTGTTCATCTGTTGAGAGCTAAAAGGACTTTTCTGCCTTTTTCTAATTTGAATAGTAATTTTTTAAAGTTTTAAACATTAATGTTAAATAATACTTGGTTTCCAAATAGATCTACAACTACTTATCATCTATAAGAATTCTAATTCTAATTTATATTAATTAAATATTTGAGGGGGGCATATCTGTCTTTTCAATTATAGGACTTCTACTAAATCCGGCAACAGTGACACTAAGATAAAATGAAATCTTGTAATGGGCTATCTAACCTTAAATACGACAAGGGTGTCCATAGTTAGTAGGACCTACAAATTTGTTTTAATGGCAATATTGTCCTTTACTAATTGGATTGAAAAAGAAAATTATAATTTTCTTTCCACCGAATAAGAGGAGAGTGCCAGCACATTGTCAATTTCAAGGTCCCCCCCTCTCACAATTAATTTAGATTAAAACGCGTACATACTTTTTTATTCACAAATTAACACACAAGACATTAGTTTCATTTTCATGCCTTGAACACGAAAGATGTGTGGAAATATAGAGAATTCGTTATTTCGTATGATGGAATTTATGACATAAAAAATGATGCCATAAACTGAATAGTCTAATTACGAAAAGTGGTATTGAAATCTTCTTTCGCAACAAATAATAATATTCTCGTCAATAATTTTTGTGAGCGTTCTACTTGAATGTGTTATCTTAGTTAAAAATGGATTTTTAGCTATTTTTATGACTAGTAACTATATCTATGTTCTTAAGAATAATTTTAGGTACTTAGTATATTTTCCATGATAACTTTGTTTAGGAGTGGAATAATGTTTGATGATTGGTTGAGAGTAAATCCTTCTAGCTATTGGGTCATTTTAAGATTATTCTATTCCCTATGAATTGGTTGCAGTGGTAAAATGCAATTTCTTGGGGTGTTAATACGCACAAGGCCAACCAACTCTTTCCCTCTCTCACAAGCATAATTCTCAAAATCTAGGGTAGGGTGGGATCGGGCTGAAGTAATATAATTAGGATAATGTTTGATAAGATTATAAAACAATATTGAGTTTATCGTACTAAATATGTTAGTATCATATATGTCTCGAGGGTAACTTTTGTGAATAGGAGCAATAAAGTGCTCATAATCACGACATCTTAACAACTCTCACTGATAGCGAAATTATTATTAGCTACTAATTCCAAAGGAAAGTAAAGGAAAATTTTCTAAACCATACAAGCATGATGTAAGAATGACTTCACCCTAACAAGTCCCTTGATCAGGGAGTATTTTATTTCAATTTAATGAAAAATCAACACAAACGTCAGTCAATACGATAGTCCCAGCACCAAATTACAAGAATTCCAATTCCAAATCAGACCTTTCCATCCTCCTTTATTTACTTTCCATTTATATAAGTTAAAATTTCAAAACAGATTTCCAAGATATGAATATACTCTTGATACTCTATGTATCTAAATATGAATTACGAACGAAGGTGATGCTAACAATACAACAAAACTCGAGAAATCATTGTATGATTTAGAGTCCATTCTTGCATCATTACGGACATGACAAATTTATTTTTCATTTTAGATACTGAACCCGTACGAAATATCTATAAAGATGAGAGACTTTATTACACTTTTCCCTGTTTAATGCTATAGAAGAAACAAATTTGTTAAATTATATTTTTTCAAAAGTAACGTCTTGTAAGAAAGAAAACAGTACATTTAAGATGCAAGAGGAGAAAACGTTTTAACAGCTACGATTATTCCCATAAACAAGTTTCGAACCATACAAAGATTTATTTTAGGAAATTTCTTTATTTTCTATTTGTCGAAAATGGCATAGGAACAAGCCATGTTCGTTCTTCAACTTTGTTAAAAGTACGTCAAAACTGGAGACTGAGTCCAGTTTACGCCAAATATTTGCGTCCATACTTTACTCTCTTTCTCTCTCTAAAATACCCCTCTTCTCTCTCCACATCCCATTACTTTAAACAAGCTTTTGCTTTCCCTCTTACACACCCATCCCTCACTTTTCCCTCTGCCTTTTTTTCGTGGGTGCGCGTTCTTGTGTGTGTTTATTTTCCCCTTCTTATATTATAATTATAAGAGGTGTGCATGAATGAATTCTGTAAAAGAAGAGATGGAGAAAATTAACTTTGTGAAGAATGGTGTGCTGAGATTGCCTCCTGGATTTCGGTTCCATCCTACTGATGAAGAACTCGTGGTACAATATTTGAAGCGCAAGGTTCTTTCTTACCCTCTACCAGCTCCTATCATCCAGGAGGTCGATGTTAACAAGTCTGATCCTTGGGATTTGCCAGGTTTTTTTTTTTCCCTTTATTTTTCGTGAATTTTTAAGATTATTATGTGTTGCATGCAATATGTTCGACAAGACGCAGCATAGCCTGCATAGGGCTTACTGTTACGAACTTGACTCTTCCAAGCTTATGTGTTCGTAACATAATTCTTCATTTGGTGCTCATACGGGTGAATTTCTGTGTATGCATACAGGTGATTCAGAGCAAGAGAGATACTTTTTCAGCACAAGAGAGGTGAAGTACCCGAATGGGAACCGATCAAACAGGGCCACTGGTTCCGGCTACTGGAAGGCAACTGGAATTGACAAACAAATTGTGAGTTCGAGGAGCCACCAAGCTGTTGGGATGAAGAAAACTCTAGTTTTCTACACGGGAAAGCCTCCAACTGGATGCAGAACTGATTGGATTATGCACGAGTATCGCCTAGCTCAGGCAGTAACCACTACCCCGCAAGGGAGAACTTTAGGCCAGGTAACAATTCAAATAGATTTCATCTCAATAAAACTAGATTATGTAAACCAGTAAAATCAATTTTAATTGTTGACTATTACAAATCCTTGCAGGAAAACTGGGTAGCCTGCCGAATATTTTTGAAGAGAAGAAGCAACAAAAATGACGACCAGGTCGCACAAGTGCAAAAAGAAACCAGAGGAGCCCCTATTGTAGGGAAATCTATGCCTGTTTTCTATGATTTGAATCTGGTACCAGTATCCTCATCTTCAGGTTCAAGTGGGATCACAGAAATCGAATCAGATCACGAAGAAAGCAGTATTTGCAACAGTTTTACAACCTTTTGAGCAGTTGTTATCTGATTTACTAATTTAGGTTTCATCAAAATAACCAGTTCAAAGATGCAGTCAATGACAATGACTATCAAAGGCAGTGAAGAAAAAATGGGCATTAAAGGGATATCATAATATAAATGTAAAAGTTAGTGATGATTATCTTTCGATTAGTTTTGTATCAATTACATGTTTCCCAAAAGCTCGTAATGTTCAACTGTTTCGTCTTGCAAAACCTTTTGTTAATTATTTTGTCCAAACCTGTTTAATAATGTGCCTGCACTAAACATAATATTGTCAGACGAAAGAGAACAAGGTCAGAAAGAGACATATCTCCCGCCCAGGAGATCAGTTCTGAGATCAAAGTTGAATAAAGTTTATGAGGTAGATGGACAAAAGGAAAGCAAAAAGAGGCAGCATCAAGTTTTGAGACAGACATTGAGCGGAGAATCCTCTAATCGCGCATGAGAATAAGAACATAATCCTTTTGCAATATCTCCTCTGCATTAGGAATCAAGTTCTGTCTTTTGAATCGCTCAAAGTTTTAACCAAAAAATAAGTCATAACAACTACAATACGAGAAACACAAACTGACACTAGTGAAACAACAGTATAAATCCACGTGGATTTCTTGCCACATACAAAATAATATATGTGCATTTGTTGGAGAAGTCACGTATTAAGATAGATCTTCGCACTATCTTCCACTTGCTATATATTTATTTTAATACACAACTTTTGACTCCTTTATTTAACCAAACGGTATGGCATATGATGCATACAACTCAGAGAAGTAGAGATGATCTCTACACAAAATCCTAATTATTTATTAACATCATATACATAAAATATTGCCGACCAAAGTTTCCTTCTAATAATGTTCAAAATTATCGTAGGGTCCATTTGATTGGTTTAAATTTCATGAAAAAATGTTACATTCGAAGAATTCAATTTCTATTTTGACTGTTTGATACAAAAGTTGAAATAAAGTTCGAATTTCAATGTACAACCACTTTAAACTTGTTTTTTGTCAATTTCATAAAAAAATGATTTCTATGGGGTACTTTGTATTTTTATTTTCCAATTTATATGGAATTGAAAGTTTTTTCACATTTATCAATCAAACCGATCCTTAGATTATTTGAAATTCTTCAAGTCACACGTTCTATATATATCATATACCTGTAAATTTCTAGGCCAGAGTCCCCACAGGCAAAATTTTGAATTGGGCTGTCGACTCAATTGCTGACTTTTGTAGAGCTTTAAATTGTTGCAGGCGCCGTGCTAGACTACGCACCTGCACCGTACCCTTTACTGCATCACCTGATTAGGTCAATCGCTAATAAAAAACAAACATTATTGGTGTTAAGGATTGTGACTAAGATGTGAATTGTGCAAGTTGACCAGTGCAGGTAATAACTGTTTATACATACATTTTATTGGTACAAAATTAAGTTATTAGGTTGCTTAGAAAGACTGCAACAATGACATCTCGTTTATGAATAATGCTAAACGACCCGCATGGATGACTGCGGGGATAACCACACCCTCACAACCGAGATGAGGGTCCCACATGAATAAAATAATCCCAACCCCCCATGTGTGTGTGCGCGGTCAACCCCGAGGTCATCCACGCGATTCGTCTAGCATGGTCCCTCGTTTATTTGGGCGCATTCGGGCGATCAAACATAAATTTATTAAGATGATCTTATTGTAGAAAAGTTTTAGGGCAAATAAATGGTTAATTAGCACATAAGGCCCACATCTTTCATTATTATTGTGGAAAACGTCAATACCTTTCATTTTTTAGTATTTTCATCTTTATTTCCACTTTTTTTTTTTTGCGCAAAACTTCTTTTTCGTCTATTTTCTTAATTAAAAATTGTGAAATGACAAATATATATTCTTATCTTTAAATAAAATAAAACGAAAAAGAAAAAAAATTAATTGCAACTATAGTCCTAATGTTATTTTAAAAAAGCGTAAATGAGTCCAAATAAATTATTAAAAGGGTAATTAGCATATAATGTCCACCTTTAACTATTATTGCGAAAACGTTCATATTTTTCTTTCTTTTTGACATTTTCACAGTTAAATACATATTTAATTGCGCAAACCATCATTTCTATCCATTTTCATTCAATTTTTCAATAAAGAATTTTGAAATGATGAATATACCCTCCTATTAAAATAAAAAAGCTAAAAAATTAATTGCAACTATGGTTCCAATTTTTTAAAAAAAATCATACGAGTCCCAAATAAATTATAAAAAAAATTGAAAATTAAAATTTTTTTAAAAAAAAGTGCAAACAAGCCCTAAGAAATTAGTTTTTTTTTTTAGAAAGTGCAAACGAGTTCCAAATAAATTATTTAAAAAATTAGAAATTAAATTGTTTTTTTTTTTAAATGTGCAAACGAGTCCTAATTAAATTTATTAAAAAATTTTAAAAAATTAAAAAGTGCAAACGAATCCCACATAAATTATTAAAATGGTAATTAGAACATAATGTCCCTACCTTTTACTATTATTGCGAAAACGTCCATATTTTTCTTTCTTTTTCACATTTTCACCGTTAAATACACATGTGATTGCGCAAACCATCATTTCTATCCATTTTCATTCAATTTCTCAATAAAAAGTTGTGAAATAATGAATATACCCTCCTATTAAAATAAAAAAAAGTTAAAAAATTAATTGCAACTATAGTTCCAGTTTTTTAAAAAAAGTGCATACGAGTCCCAAATAAATTATGAAAAAGTTGAAAATTAATTTTTTTTTAAAAACAAAAGTGCAAACGAGCCCTAAATAAATTATTTAAAAAAAAAATTAGAAATTAGTTTTTTTTTTTTTTTTAAAAAAAAAAGTGCAAACGAGTCCCAAATAAATTTTTAAAAATAAGAAATTAAAAAATAATAATTTTATTTAGTTTCCTT